AGCACCCTGGCAGGCGCGGCGCCCCGCCGCCGCCCCGGGCGCAGCCCGGCCGCCGGGGAACCCTGCCCGACGTGCCCGCTGCCGGCCTTAAAGGGCCCGTGCCCGCTCCCTGCCCCCACCCCAGCCGCGGGGAGGCTGCGCCCCTTAAAGGCGCCGCGCCCGGCCGCCCCCATCCTCTCTCGCGGGGGCTGGCACTGCAGGGTTGGGCGGGCAGAGGTGCCGCAGGCGCCCTTAAAGGGACCGGGAAAGTGTCCGCGGGAGTACCTACCTCCTCTCAGGGGGCATCGCTACCTGAGGGGTGGGGAGAGGAGGGAGGAGGCAGCCAGCTGCCTCTTAAAGGGACAGCTCCGCCCTTTGGGAGCAATGATCCGGCTCTGGGCGAGTCCTAGAATGTATCCCTGGGAGCTGGGGGGGAGGGGTGGGAGCCCTCGAGAGGACCATTCTTGACGGCTGCACCCCAAGGGCGTTGGGCAAGCAGTGCCTCTTCTGCCCTTCCTCCCCATCTCCTCCACTTCCCTTTCGGGAGCCAGCGGGGCTGGGAGGGGGTGGGGAGGGCGTCTCCGTCGGGCTTGGGGAGTCCGAGTCTGCTCGCCCCTTCGGCCCAGTCGCGGGGCCTGGCGCTGCACCCGGGAATCCGGGCCCCGAGATGGGGCAGACCCCAGCTTGCGAACTTTCGTCCGGCCTGCGCCGTCTGGGTCCTCGGCGGCCCTGGGAGGATCCCCCGTGGTCTCTGAGCAGGTGCCCGACGGCACCGGGACGTCCCCCGGCGTCCAGGTGTGGGCCCGCCACCCGCCCTGGAAGCCCGGGAGCCCCGCGGAGAGCGCTGCGAGGCTGGCTTTTGCACCGAGTTTGACAGATGTCAGGGAAGAAAGGCTCCCATTCGCGATTGCCGAGCGTTGACAGCCACGAGAGCTCTCGTTGGCTCTGAGGTAGAAGTGGAAGAGTGGAAATTAATGCCGACCTTGTCGGGCTTCAGTCGGTGACCCCGAGGGGTCACAAAAGCCTGCTCCGGACGGCAGGCGGGTGTCGGAGGGCAGGCGCAGGGGAAGGAAGGGTTGTCCTGAACATCGGCGTCGGTTGTCCCTGGCAGTGCTGGCCGATGAGGGAGCAGGCTGACACCCCTCACCCCACATTCCCTAGCCCCCTTTCCCTCCTCCGCTTCGGCCCCTTGGCCCCTTCCCGGTCCAATAGCGTTGTTTGGGCACTTTGGCGCTTGCTAGTCTCTTCTCCCTGCTTACGAAGCTACTCCTCAGCATGCAATTATTAGCCAAGTTTTCTCACCCAGCTTCCAGAAATAAGATTCGGTATTTGTGCAGAAGCATTTCCTGGCTGTACCTGTATTTCCAGGATCTCCGTTAAAAAAAAAAAAAAAATCCACAAAAGCTGCCCATTAGATGCATCTCATTTCACACAAGGCTTGCTTGTCCTTCTGGCATCTGCTGCTGCTCTCCCCTTCATCTATTTTTATATGACAACTATTATTTTAATTCTTCTGGTCCCATTGATATCAGGATCTGTCAATTTGGGTTGGTGGAGTTTTTAATTAATGTACTGGTTGAATCATGAGCTTAAAATAATCATTGCTGCTCTTGAGCAGTTTTGAATAATCTCATGCTCTTCGAGCTTGCAAGTAAAAAAAAAATCACTGCTGTCAAATTAAATTTCCATATCAATGAAACTCCAAAATATTTTTTAAAACACAAAATTGAATCTTTCGGTCCATGACCTGTTACTGAGTTCACTTGAAAACAGTTCGTTGAATGCTGTTTAGAAAAGGCTTTGAAATCGCCTGTGTCATCTGAACCCGGATCTGTGGAGGTATTTTGGTTTTGATGGTCGTTGTAGCCAGTGAATAATAATAATAATAATAATAATTATTATTATTATTATTGTTATTTAAAACTGTAGTTAAATTTGTGCCTTATTTTAACCCCTGCAGTTTAAAAAGAGGGCGAGAGAAAGGAACAGGTGGGGTAAAAAGCACTAGCTGAGAGTTAGAACATGCTTGTCCTTGCCCAGACTTGGGTTTTCATGGCTGTGCCGCTTCAGGCAAGTCATTGAACCTCTCTGGGTTCTGTTTGTCTCAGATGGAAAGTCAGGCTGTTGAAGTACATGATCTCAAAGGTTCCTTCTGTGCTACAGTTCTCTGCATCTAAAGTTTTAATACATTTGAGTTCAGGTTGGTATTTACCTGCTCAAGCCTCCAGAACATCTGAGCTGAAGTCCTATTTTCATAGGAAACTTCAACAGAACAACAGATGGGGTTTGAACGAATCCATTTAGAATGATTTATAAAATGATGATTACTCAGGAGTTTGCCTCTCGCAGAAGAGGTTCTGCATGCCACAGAGAAGAAAAGGAAGTGGTCGTGTTTTCAGATTTAGCCCTCAATACCGACAATCTCTGTGCAATTTATATACTAAACAATGAACAAGCACTGTAGAAAGACTTGGCTGTGTTAACAAAACTGCCTGAGAATCTGTGAAAACTAAATATTTAATATGTCTCTTTGGTGGAAGAGTTGCCTTCCTTCCATGAGATTTCTTCTGTTTGTGATTGCAACATCAGCTCTGAGGCTGGTGGGAGAAAGTCAGTATTAAGGAAACAGTTTCTGCCCCTTACGATGTTATAGTTATGGAGTGATTTTAGTTAGCATCATGGTAGATACTTGCAGGGAGGTAAAAAAAATCCTTTCTAGATCTTGAGGGTGGTGAGGAGTCCAGAAACACCCACATGCTGCCCTTCTCGGATCTTTTCTCTCCTCGTTGCTACTTTGTCCCAACACCCAGACTTAACCCCAAACACCCACCCTGGCTTTTCCCTTCTTTCTCTCTGGAAACAAGACCTGCTCTGACTTGAGCCCCCTCAGCATCTCTTCCTTCCTGTTCGAAGCATCCTGTCTCTTTCCTCCGTGGCTTCTCTTCTCTTTCCAGATCAGAAAAAGTAAGTGGATCTCTCCTCTTTCTTTTTCTCAGACCTTCATTTTGGGTGGGAGCCTTGACTCTGGCGGCAGGACCTGGGACTGGGGTTTGGATCAGAAGAGTGCTTGACCCCTCTGACCACAGGCTCCTCCTCTGCGGTGTAGTGACAGTGCCAGCTTCATGGAGTCTGTATGAGGATGAAGGGAGATGATGCGTGTAAAATGCCGGGCACACAGGAAGCCCTCCCTCAGTGCCTGCTGCCACTCCCTCCCACCGCTGCCAGGGTCCTGCCCGCTGAATAGCTTTTCATGCTGTTTGTCCTCAGCCTTCTCATCAACCCCAGAAAAGCCTTCCTCTCAGTTGAGGAGAGGAAGGATAGAAGGAGGAGAAACAGCCCTTCTGTGGGCCTGCTGTGCACAGGCGGCTTTCACTGGTCTGTACATGGTACCCCTGAACCTGTGTGTCTTTCTCTCCCCTCCCTGCCCAGCAACCTCTCACAGGGGCTGTGCGCATTCACCTCATTCTCTCTTCGTCTGCTCTGCCCCTAGCGCCCACCCTCTGGCTCCTTTCAGCCTTCTCTATAGTTCTTCTAAAAGATTTCCAAAGTCTTTAGGTCTGTGATTTCCAGGGACCCGTTCTTAGTGCAGAATGGTCGTTCTGGGCCCCTTTGCAGCTGTAACCCTGTCTTTCCTCCCTTCTTGAAATCCCCTCCTTCTTCTGCCTTGCCATGATGCTTTCTTGGTTCTCTTCCTACATACCCTAAAGGTACGTTTTTGTCTTGGCCCTGCGCTTCACACTGTTCCACTCACCCAGGGTCCCACTTTCACTCCTGATCTGTCTCTTCTGCTTCGGCGGCTAGCAAGTTCACTGTACACATTAACAGTAGCCTGGAGCCGGCATCTGTGACCTTGGAGTTAGAGGTTGCAAATTGCTTGCAAGCACTGTCTCCTTTCATCCTCCTGACACACGGTTGCCTATACCCCTTCACAGCCAAGCTGTCCTGAGGGGCAGTTTGTTTGAGCGGTTAAAGGTGCAGACTTTGGAGTAAGTGTCATATCCTAACTGTTCCTTACCAGCTTTATGATCTGGTCAAGTTGCTGTGCTCACTGTGTCTTGATGTCCTCAGTGATAAGACCAGGATCTCCAGAGTCCTTACCTCAAGGAGTTGTGGTGTACATTGAATGAGTTAAAACCATGAAAAATATGTGAAGCTATTCATGGTGCATAGTAAGCATTCAGTGAATGTTAGCTCTTGATGCTTCTGGTCCCTCTCGCCTTTCCGTATCCAGCCTGCCTGTCTGTGTGCACAGGACTGTCTGGTCAAACTGAAGGGCTGTCCTTTCCCTGGGCCGGCCCTTGGCTCATCCCGTGCTCCAACTTATGTCCAAATCTTACTCTTCTCTAAGACCCGGCTCAATTGCTTGGCCCTCTAGGAGCTATTCATTTTGTTTGTCTTCCTCCCCACACCTGGTAGCAGTACCCTCCAGCTCTTGATCTAGCTCAGATTCTTAGGTACTGCCGCATCTGTGTTGTGTTGGGCCGTCTCTGGGAATATGTGTCTTGCTTGCTCAGGCTAAGCAGTTTGGGGGAGTTCATCTTGGTTTCCCAAAATCA